GACTATGGTCCTAAACATTCAAACCCAGGAAACCAATCCTGCGAGGTATTTGGTTATGTCTAAGAAGTGTCCATAACTGTGCCCCCTACGTGCTTTATTATATATAAATGTATGTGCATACAGTCACACCTATATGTACACACATGTATACTCATATATACGTACCTATACAGATACATATCTACATACATACACATATACCTGTACATATAGTTTTGTTTGGTGCTGTTGTTTCAAAGTTACATATACCATAGTGATTATGTTCAACTTTTTGAGGAACTGCTGAACTGTTTTCCAGATTTTCACCAGCAATGGATGAGGGTTCCAGTTTTTCCACAGCCTTGCCAATACCTGTTGTTTTCCTTTTTTAATCATTGCCCTTCTAGTAGGGGTGAGGTAATAACTCATATCTCGTTGGGGTTTTGATTTGCATTTCTGTAATGGCTAATGATGTTGAGCATCTTTTCATATGCTTGGTGGCCACTTGAATATCCTCTTTGGTGAAATGTCCGTTCAAGTCCTCTGTCCATTTTTCAATTGGGTTGTTTGTCTTTTTTATTGTCAAATTAGCACTTGTTTTTTTTAAAAATATATAAAATGTATAATATTCTATTTGAATGTAAAGTTATTTTTTAACTAATAATTGGACATTTGGGCTATTACTAGTATTTTGTTATTATGAATAATGCTGTAGTATACTTGTTTTTCTATCCTGAATGTTTGTTTATTTCATTAGGTAGAAATTTGAGGTGCCTAAGTGCTGGGTGGAGCCCTGGTTGCTCAGTGGTTTAGAGCTCAGGCTGCTAACCAAAAGATTGGCAGTTCGAATCTTCCAGCTGTTTCTTGGAAACCCTGTGGGGCAGTTCTACTCTGTCCCGTAGGGTAGCTATGAGTTGGAATCAACTTGACGGCAACGGGTAATTGCTGGGTCACGGGGTATGTGAATTTTAAGGTTTTTAATAACATAGTGCTAAACTGCCTTATAGCAGGTTGAACCCATTCAAAAGAAAAGGAATTATTGAGACTGCTAATACCTTATATTCTCAGACACCCATGCCCATAGTTTTACTTTTTATTAATAAGTGCGATTGAGACCTTTTTCATGTATCCTTGGATACCTGTAGTTCTTTTTCTGTGAATTGCCTGTCACTCTTCTTTGTCCATTTTTGTACTATCTTTTTTGGAAAAAATTTTATCTACAGAGCCTTCTTTATTATGTAATAAATTATTTATACCGTATTTTCATAGAATCTTTGTTCTTTCAAAGTAATCATTTTTGTTCAAAATGTTTGACTTCCAGTTTTTTGTTAGCTCTGGTTTTTCCAAGGTGTCTCTTCTGATTTTTTTTTCTCATGTACTGTAGAATTGCAACACAAAGTATATTCCTTAAATTTTATTGTTATTGTTTTTAATGCTTTCTGTAATTAATCTGGCTGCTATTGATCACACATAAGATGGTATATAGTAAGTGTACATTGATTAGAGACTATGGTAAGAGTGATATACCCAAAGGTGTGATGGGGGCAAAATCAAGTTATGAAATTCGGTACACTTTCAGTTATTAAGAAGACCCTCCTTTCCTTCTCTCTTCCCCCCTTTACTGCCTAGGTCAAGATACCTGTAAAGAGTTTTGTTATATTACGCCTTGGGGTTACAGTCTTAAGTTAGTATCTTGTACAAAGGATATCAAATGAGTGTTCAGTAAATAAATTCATAGAAGAAAGTCTATCTGATTCAAACAAACGGCATTTTTATTGTAGGTAAATTAAAACAAAACTAAGAGAAGCCAGTACTCAAAATGCAAATACTAGAGCAGAAATCGAATGATTGAACTGCCTAGAATTGTCTCAGTCCATATTGACTCTAATTCCCAAATCCTTGTAGAAATGTGATAATCTGTCTTAAAACAGTGATTCTGAAATCTTCTGTGATTTTTATGTTCTGCTAAAGTTAAATTGAACTTTCTCAAAAGTAATTATAATTCCCTTTAAAAATCCTATCAGCATAGGGCACATTTTGTGGATTGTATTGAGTTTCACAGGAGCCCTGGTGGCACCGTGATTATTTGCTTGGCTGCTAACCAAAAGGTTGGTGGTTTGAACCCATCTAGCTGTTCCTTGGGCATATATTAATGTAAAGATAGGGCATAATATTTTTATTTCAATAATAAGATAACTGTCAGGGGCTTCCAATGTATGGGATGCTCATATAGTCCAGTGAAGATGATCCATTTGAGGAAGAAATTGTTGATTTATGTTTATTTAAAGTAAACCTTTTTTTGAGACAATTGTAGATCCACATGCATTTGTAAGGAATAAATAGGTAGATCATGTGTGCCCTTTACCCAGTTTCCCATAGTGGTAACATCCTGCAAAAAAAAACCATAGTACAATATCACAGTCAGGATATTGATATTGATAGAGTCAAGATACATAACATTTTCATCACAAGGATCTCTCACGCTGGCCCTTTTACAGCCACCTCCACTTCTCTACAGCCCTTTTCCTCCTCCCCCCTTAATCCCTGATGATTAATCTTTTTTCCATGACCATAATTTTATCATTTCAAGAATGTTATATAAATGGAATCATATAATCTATAACCTTTTGGGATTGGCTTTTTTTCACTCAGTATAATTCTCTGGAAATTTATCCAAGTTGTTGCATGCATCAGTAGCTTGTTCCTATTTATTGATGAGTAATATTTCCATGGTGTGTTTGTACCACAGTTTAACCATTTAGGGACACCTGGGCTTTTTGTGTGAACGTAAGCTTTCACTTCTCTGGCATAAATATCCGGCAGTGCTATTGCTGGGTCAATACGGTAGTTGTATATTTAGTTTTTTAAGAATTTGGCAAGTTGATGGAGAGCAGTTGTACCATTTTATATTCCAGCAGTGTATGAGTTCCTCCTCATCCTTGTTAGCATTAAGTGTTGTCATTGTTTTAGTTATTCTGGTAGGTTTGTAGTTACATCTCATTGTGGCTATCCTTGTTGTTTATCTGTGTCCTCATTTCTCAGTTTCTGGAGTAATTAATAAACTTGATTCTGGCAGTGGAGACTGTATAATGCTTAAAATTTGCATTTGCCTTTTTCCTGGTCCTTTTGCTTGAGAGAACAGGCTTTTGTTGGAGCTGTTTTGGTCTGGATCCATTGTCGTTTCTGGATTGCTTCTTCAGCTCTTAAGTCGAGGATATACGTGGCAAAAAGAAAACCCAGGAAACTCTCCGCTGTGTTGTTCCTTACGTCCTGATGTTCCTACCTGGTCTGCTTTCTTCTCTTCACTGTTTAGTCTTCTTATGTTTCTTTATTGCAGCATGTTATCATCGACATGATTAACTTTATAAAAATAAGACCTTTTGAAATCTAGAAGAGTATTTACTAATAAAGGGAGTTGTGACCATGAAAATCTTTATACATACATTTACTGGTTTTCTTAGAGAAGTTTTTGAAGAAATAGAACTTCGATAAGGAATAGACATTTTCTTTTACAAGAGAACATGTGTACTAAATTGGCTGACCTTTTATTATGATACGAGCATCCATAGCACATATTTTGGAAAAATTAATGTATGTCATGTAAAGGTAAACATGGCTTGTTAACGGTGAGAAATATTGTGTTCATTCAAAGAAACTTTGGAACGAGTGGGAAATTTTTCATCTTGAGGAATTTTCCTGTGAGAACTCTTCATCAGCTAAGATAGCTAAACCAAGTATCAAAATAAATTGAACTTAGAATCTCAAGTTAACTGTATTAAGTTAGTTATTAGACCAGTATTTAAAGAAATTCCACTGTAGTGGATTTTAAAAAATGTTGTTTGTATTCTTATTAAATAAAATAAGAATTATTTTAAAATGATATTTCATCTTTGATTCTTCAAAATAATAAATAGATAGAGAGTCCATGCATAAATTTTTACTGGTAAAGGGTCATGACCAGACATGTTTGGAGACCACTAAACTAGATGCTATAGGCTGTAGTCAATGTCTTTTCCTTGCAGCTTAGGAACTAAAATTATATGGTGATTTTTTTTGTTGTTGTTTTTTGTTTTTCTTTTTTACCCTTGTCTCTAACATTTGACTTTGGCTATCCTTGTTGTTTATCTGTGTCCTCATTTCTCAGTTTCTGGAGTAATGAATAAACTAGATTCTGGCAGTGGAGACTGTATAATGCTTAATATTTGTTTTTCAGTAGTTTACCTTTTTCAGTATAGTATTTTTACTTTAATGGAAATCAGGAAGTATGTCTTTTGAAATTTTCTTTAAGGAAGGAGCAAGGATGTAAATTTGTGTTATGTGCTGGAAGCTACCATGTTGTTGTTGTTAGGTGCCATCAAAGTAAATTCCGACTCATAGTGACCCCATATGATAGAGCAGAACTGCCCCATAGTATTTTCTAGGCTGTAATCTTCACGGGAGCTAATCACCGTGTCTTTCTCCTCAAGAGCCTATGGGTGGGTTTATACTGCCAGCCTTTCGGATAGCAGCTGAGCGTACCAGTGGGCCTCCTTGGAAGTTATCATATGTGCCTTAAAAAAGTTCTCTCACAACAACCCATTTTGCCAATGATGATGATCTCCAAATGACTCAATTTAATGCTTTGAGATTTCATTATAAGAATTATACTTTAATAGATTCAAAGAGATTTTAGAACACATTAGATCATCTAAGAGAAAAAAGTGATTTTTTTCAGGGCCTAATTAGGGCCTGAAATCAAATCTCTTTTTAATTCCTTGCCCCATTATTCTGTTATTGCTATCATTAAATCATTTTTTCTAGGTAATTAAAAGTATTTGATAATTCTTCTGTAAATTGGGCAAAAAATGGTGGGGACAGAGCAGACCGGCATTTAACAGTTGGAATGAAAGCACCTCATATTTAAAGTTTGTAAGTCACAAAGCCACAATTGAGAATTAACTTCTACAGATTGCTTGCTAACCTTTCTATGTAGCAATCTTTCTATATATGTCCTATAATGTCTTTTTTAAAATCTTTTTTAGGTAGGTAGCCATCCAAGCTTCCTGAAAGAGGTTCGAGATCACATGCAGGACTCTTTCTTAATGCAGCCTGAGGTAAGCAGGGATGCAGCAGGGATTAAGGCCCCAACATTTCCAAGTGCTGCTACTGTCTTTATTAGGTATCTGAAAAGTCCTTTGCATTTTGTGGTATATTAAAATTTGTGAACTTAAAATATGTGAGATTGAATGTTTCATTACTTAGTTTTTTTCTTAGACACAGACAAGCTTTCTGATTTCACGTGAGCATTTTCTAGTGATATGTCCATTTGTCTTCAGGTATTTATGTTCTTAGGAAACTATTTTAAGATAATTTTTTGGTGTTCAGTACATGGTAGACATTTAATTATACAGTATAAACGTCCCTTTTTTAAAAAGAAAATTTACTGTGGCAAAATATAACAAAAATTTTGCTATTTTAATTATTTTTTAAGTGACAGTCACATTCACCATGTTGTGCTACCATCACCACTGTCTATATCCAAAAGTTTTACATCACCCTAAACAAAAACTTGGTACCCCTTCATCAGTGACTCCTGTTCCTCCTCCCCTCAGCCCCTGGGAACCACTAATAAACTTTTTTTTCTGTGCAGTTTAGTTGCCTGTTCTAGATATTTCGTGTGAGTGGGATCATACAAAATTCGTCTTTTTGGGTCTGTATTTCACTCAGCATGATGTTTTCAAGATTCATCCGTTTTGTAGCATGTATCAGACTTTTATTTCTCTTTATAGCTGAGTAATATTCCGTTGTATGTATGTACCACATTTTGTTTATACGTTCATTTTTTGATGGACACTTGAGCTTCTGCCTTTTAGCTATTGTGAATAATGCTGCAGTGAACATTGGTATACAAGTATCTGTTTGAGCATCTGCTTTCAGCTATTTTGGGTATATACCTAGGATTGGAATTGCTGGGTCGTATGGTAATAATGCCATGTTTAACTTTTTGAAAAACTGCCAAACTATTCTCCAGAGCAGATGCACAATTTTACAGTCCCATCAGCAATATACAAAGGTTCCAGTTTCTCCATGTGCTCGCCAACACATATTGTCCATTTTTCTGATAATGTCCATTTTTCTGGGTTTGAGGAGTCCCTGGGTGGTAGAGACAGTTAACATACTGGACTACTGACTGAAAGGTTGAATATTCAAGTCCACCCAGAGGCACCTCGGAAGAAAGGCCTGGTGATATACTTCCAAAAAATCAGCCATTGAAAACCCTATGGAACACAGTTTTACTCTGACACGCATGGGATTGCCATGAGTCAGAATTGACTTGAGGGCAACTGATTAAAGAAAAAGAAAGCCTTACTACTGTAAAGTTGATTCCAGCTTATGGTGACCCTCTGTGTGTCAGAGTAGAACTGTGCTCCATAGGGTTTTCAGAGGCTGTGATCCTTTGGAAGTAGATCATCAGTCCTTTTTCTACGAGGTGCCTCTGGGTGGACTTAAGCCACCAATTTTTGGCGCTTAATTTTGCCACCCAGGTACTCCATGATGGCAACTGGTAGTCGGTGTAAATTGGTGTCTCATTGTAATTTTGATTTGCATTTCCCTAATGAGCATCTATTTTTTTTTTTTTTTTTGGTGTTTAATAAATTTTTATTATAGCAAAGAAATTAAAATTGAGACTATTAAGATAGTTCTTCATGACACAAAAAGCAGAGGTATAATCAAGTGGTTTTCATAGCCAAGTTGGCAGCACTATATCATCCTCTTTGACTTGGCAGCCCATATCCCCTGCCCCCCACCATGAAGATTAAACACAAACAGTCCCACTCCTCCAACCCCCACATTATCTCTTTCCCTCAACCCTTCAGCCACCACCCTTGTGATCCCCTGGCTGCAGCCAGCCTCACTGGGTGCACTGTCTGTGTGAGTGTCCACACAGGCACAGAGTTGTGTAAGGAGAGGTGGGACTGGACAGAGACTGGACTGGCATGCAGTTCATTCTGGGCGAGGGTACAGTTGCAACCCACTTGCTGACAGACGAGTGACGTATCACCAGCTGGGTCCGGCAGAGCTGCTGAGGTCCTGCCCCATCATCTGCTTATGGTCCTTCATGTTTTCAATGTGGGCTAAAAAGGCAGAGAGGAAATCGTGCAGGAAGGGAAGGGACACTGCAGGAAGACTCAACGAACAAATCAGTCTTAGAAGAAATACAACCAGAATGTTTCTTAGAAGTGAGAATAGTGACACTTCAACTCACTTACTTTGAACACATCATCAGGAAAGAGATTAATCGCCAGAAAAGGACATCATGTTTGTAAAGGCCCAATGAAAATGAGGAAAACCCTCAATGAGATGGATTGACACAATAACCACAACAAGGGGCTTAAACATACCAACAATCAGGAAAATAGCATAGGATGGGGAAGCCCTTTGGTCTGTGTACATCAAGTCACCACGAGTCAGAGCCAAGCCCGACAGCAGCTAAGAGCAACAATTTATTCCCACTGCTATGGTGGTGCTTGGCTACTAACTAGAAGATCAGTTCAACTCTTCCAGCCGCTGCTTGGAAACCCTATGGGGCAGTTGTACTCTGTCCTATGGAGTTGCTGTGAGTTGGAATCGACTTGACGGCAGTGGGTTTTACTGTGGTGCCACCTTCTGAGTACTCTATCTGATAGCTCTCTGTATTGTAGTGTCTTTTCCACTCTGACGTGGTAACACAAACTATTTCCAGCTGCCCTTGGTGTGCCTTGAGTATTGTTCAGCCTATTGCTTTCCCATGGTTCTGTGATTTTTTTCTCTGGCCTCAGGTGGTTTCTTCTTACACACAGATCACTTCTCAGTCAAATGCTTACGAGTTCCGAGGTGGCACAAGCAGTTAAGTGCTTGACTATCAACCAAAAGATTGCCAGTTCAAACCCACCTAGAGTCACCTTGGAAGAAAGGCCTGGCAATCTTCTTTTGAGAGGTTACAGCCTTTAAAACCTGATGGAGTGCAGTTCTACTCTGCACACATGGGGTTGCCATGAGTCAGAATGGACTTGGTGGCAACTTGTTTTGTTTTTTTACTTCCCTTCAGATTCCCAGAGCTCATGTGTCCGTGCGCGCACAGTTCTCTCATTTACAGTACTCTGCTCTCCCAATTCTAGCTGTCCTGGCTTCCCTGAGCTCCAGTCTCTCTCCTCAACTTTGAGAAACTACTAGACTGTATTTGGGTTCCTCTTCCCTGTGCTGTGACCTGGAAACTGCCTCCAGGCAATAAGCTGGGGCCATCATAGAGCTCACTTCATTTGTTTCCCTTCTTTTAGGTATACAGGCTTGTATTACATGTTGTCCAATGTGTGCCCCCTTTTCCAGTTGTAAGAGATGGGAGTGCCTTTATTCCAGTCCCTATTACTCTATCGTAGCTCCAATCAGAAGTCTTGTTTCTTTTTTTTATTGTTGTAGTTTAAGTGAAAGTTGACAATTCAAGTCCTGTTTCTTTTAATCTGAAACAATTTCCCAGTGTTTGTCTCTCATGACCTTGAGTTTTTTGTTTTTTGTTTTTTTTAATACTACAGGCTATTTGTTTTTTGTAGAATGTCTCTCAATTTAGGTTTATCAATTAGGTGATAATTTCTTCAGAGTTAAATTGAGGTTATGCATTTTTTGGCATGAATACCTCATAAGTGATGTTGTGTCCTTTTTGGTACATCATATCTTGGTACCATGATATCTGTTAGTCCCACTACTGTATGTTAACTTGAATCACTTGGTTAAGGGGTGTCTGTCAGGTTTCTCCAGGGTAAAATTGCTATTTTTTCCTTTGTATCTAGTAGTTTTTTGGGGAAATATATTTGATACTATGTAAGTATTCTGTTGCTCAGCAAACTTTCCTAGTTTTAGCATCTATTGTTAATTTTAAGTTTTTAAAATTACAAAAGGTAGTATATATGTGTTAAAAGAAAAATTGTAAACTATACAATAGCAGACAAAAGTAAACAATTTCAGACCTTTTTACTCTGCACGAACAGATCTTGTAACATGAAGAGATACTTTGAGGATTTTATTGAATAAATGAAGTAATTTTTACTTGACTTTATCTCTTAAAATTTAGTGTAAAAATTAGTACACTATCATGTCATTTACTAAGGTTTTATCACCATTTCCTTTAATTAGAATCTTTAACTATTTCTTTGTTTTAGACCCGTTTGCTAATATGGAAAGACCCATCCTCAGAATAATGTTATTAAATGCATAAGATAAAATACTTGTGATTGCAAAGAGAACCAACTACATCAAAATAAAGTTAATCAAAAGATTTTTGAAAATTTTAAGATAGCAATATATGTTCTTTGTTATTAGTGTATTAAATAATGAGATGCAGTGGTTAACAACTAATTTTGAAGTAATGTTGAGCATAAATGATATATCGAAGTTATCTACAACAACTGTGATACAGAAAGTTTGAAATTTTTCCTTTTGACAAGGTCACAAGTTCTACTAAATCTACTGTGATTAGTGGTCTCCATTCACAGAGAAAGAGACTGCTGTATTTCAGTTAGATGTTAGTGAATATAAAGATATAATTTTTTCCTCTACAGTGTCATGGATCCAAGTTAAGGACATTTGCTTTAAGTTGTATTGGAATGTAACTAGAAAGCAGGTTGTGTGTAGATTATTTGCTGATGCTCTCTTTCTTAGATTTTCAGCAATTTTAGAAGTTCATCAAGCCCTGTACCTTTCCATATGTCCCACTGGCTTGGTAAAAATGTACTAAATGAAATGTCTGACTTGTATGTAAAAGGAAAAATTAGAGGGAAGTTTTTAAATCACATAATGGTTAATTTTGTTATTCATGCAGAATTGGGTAAAATGTAAATGTTATCTTTTTTTTAATGAATAAACTGAAAACGAGCCACTTTGCCACAAACTGGTTATCTTGTTTCAGTTGTACCTCATTCTTTTTCACTGAAGTTATGTATAGGTTTATTTTTTTGAAAGGAGAATATTTTGATTCTGAGTTAGTTCCACTTTACCATTTCATTTCTTTAAATCACTTAGTGTGTATTTATAGGATGTTTAGAAGGTCTGTATATAAGTATGATTATTTGTTTCCATAAGAGGCAGAGCAAACTTGGTATGAATGTTTTATTTCCTTTTTGCTAATGTTCCTTCATTAAATGGGTCCTTTTTTATTCCCCCAAAGGAGCGGTAGTGATAAAAGTGTCAGTGTGGAAGTATTCTCAATATTAATGATTCTGTATTTCTGAATAGTACTTTCTTATTAAGATAAAAGTGTTTGTCAATATGGACCAGTTTCTTAACTCCTTGCTTACTTGACCCAATTCAGCTGGTGTACGTTTTGTTAACATATCTTAAATATTTAATTATCTAAATGTTCTGCTGATAAGATCGGTGTCAGGATCACAAATGCAAGTGGTGGAATAACTCAATCAACTTGAAGAATGTTCCCAATAAGTTAAAAAAAAAAAATTCATCTAAGAGGAGTGGCCTGTCATGTGGTTGGACTTTGTTTATATCAGTAAAAGAATTCTCTATAGCTGCACATAGAGGCCTCCTACATGCATCTAGTGGGAGTTGCTTTATTTTCCTCTCTAATTCTGCAACACAGTGGCTCATGTCTTGAATATTTTTTAGTATTCCTAATTGATACTATGGTGCCAGGTTTTAAACATTATTTTGTCTTCCGTTGTTTCATTGATCTATTTTCTTTTGTCCTTTCCCAATATAAAAATTTAAGTTATCACATAGGCTTCAGGAAATCATGTTGTCATTTCCAACTCAAAGCAGCGTTCTTTTCTGTTGTCTTTGTAAGATTGATAGAAGTATAATTAGACATAATGAGTTTTCAGCCAGTTTTGTTTCATAACAATTTTTTTATTGTAGTAAAATAAATATAACAAAAAATTAGCCCTTTTCACCATTTTTAAGTATACAAATCAGTGACATTAATCATACTATGTTGTGCAACCATCACTTTCCATTCTGAAAAGTTTTTCATCACCCCAAATAGAAACTCAGTACTCCTTAAGCAGTAACTCCTCATCTTCCCCCTCCCTCCTTTCCCCTACTGTTAACATTCTTTTGCTGTTGATAAGTATTTCTTTTGGGTCCTATTAGAGATTGAAGAATGAGTTGATTTTCCTTGAAAAGTAAAACTTCTCAGAGCTACTTTAGGTGACATTTGAGCAAATTAAGGGTATAGGCTGTATTATTTTTTATTTATTTTTAATGGTAAGCAGAATGAATATAACATATATAGCCCTGGCACATATATACCTGTGTTTTCTCCTGTCTATTCTGTTTGTTGTATGCTGAGAAAGGTTGTTGTTGTTGTTTTTTTTTTTTAATGTTGATGTTTGTTTGTTTTTGGTTATTGTTTTTACTTTCAATTTATTGCATTTTCTGAGGTCCTGTGGCATTCATGAAATGTTTCCATGTAGGTTATCCATTTTATGTGTTACTTTTGGCCTGATTGTCATCTATTCAGACGTCTGTTATTCATCAATTCCATGGAACATTTTGAGGCCTTCTTATATCCTCATATTGTGCTAGATGCTCTAGGGTATAAAGATAAGTAAAACAATCTCAACATCAGGTAGAAAAAATGGATACAATTATTTTGCAACAAGATATGTAATGTTTGATTTAACTGATTATAATGGAATTCTGTAACCTCAGAAGACTCAAATACAAGTTACACTTAAAGTCTTGCTTCTCCTTAGATTTGATTGCTATTTATGACTATCAAGTTAATTTTTTAATACAAACCAGTTCATCTGAATTGCATCTTTGTTTAAGTCTGTATGTATTTCAGTGATACTGCTTTTGTCCTAGAATTTTCAAGGTACCTTTTCTGGTCTTACCTTTATATCCTTTATTTCATATCTTTGAATAACCTCTGTGTGGGCAGATATTCAACCTTGGTAGGAGGATTAACTTTTGATATTATCTATTGATTATTAACTCCAGTTAATAGCCAAAAATCATCTTGAATGAGAGGTTTAAATGTAGTGAATAGTTGAGAAATCAGTTTTAAGAGAAGTTCCAAAAGTGTTTGGAACATAGCTGCTTAATGGAATAAGTATTTAACATTTTCAAATTATTCTTTTGAAGTACTAGTCATTTGATTTGTAGCTATATATTAGAATATTTTGTAGGTCCATTTAATTTCCTCTGTCAGTTGACAAAGAAATGTGTCCTCGTTGTAAACTGAAAACTGCTTTTCCTTATCAGTTTTTACTTACCTATATTTAGGCATTCTATTAAACTAAGTTAATAAAGAAAAGCAGTCTATTTTTGAAGGAGACTTAACTTGATGGTTCATTTTGTTGCTAATTTAGCAGTAGTTACTGAACAGTTTGCATCTAGATGAAGACTTCTGACTCTAAACCTTTAAAAATTGCTTTAGTGGGTTAACAGAATTGTTTTGCAGAGGCAAAAGATGTAGCAAAAAATAGAATTAATTATTTTATTTTTCTAATTGTGCTTTCCTTAACTATATCGTCTTATATTTCCAATTTAGAAATGTGGAAAACTGACTACTTGTACTGGCTGCCGAACACAGTGCAGGTTTTTTGATATGACTCAGTGCATAGGTCCTAACGGATATATGGAGCCATATTGTTCAACTGCTTGCATGAACAGTCACAAGACAAAATATGCAAAATCACAAAGTAAGTTTCAGGTATTTAAAAAGTTAACAATTTAGTAACATGACTAATTTCTTGCATAAACACGTACTCTTCCCTTATCCAAAGATTTTTATGCTTGTTTTCAACTGCTTTTATTTTTTTATTATTATACTACATTTTTTTTTTTATTAATGCAAACTGGTTTTCTTGTTTGGAGATCATTCCATACTTATTTTAGTTTGTTAAAGTTTTTGTGAAATTCTCTCTATATATGTTTTTAGCTAAAATTGTTGTTCATTCCAAACATTATTTAAAACTTAGATGTATTTTTCAGAGACATAATACCAGACTATTCTCTTAGGCTAATGTTTTTTAAAGTGAGAATAATCTAACAAAATAATAAAAATAGTTTTCAGAAGCTTTCATTAAAAAAAATAACTTTATGAGGTCAGTTAATTTTTTGCTTATTAATTTCCATTCCTTTATAAAGAAACTGGATATGCACCTTTTCTCTCCTAGGTTTGGGAATTATTTGCCATTTTTGTAAGCGAAACTCTTTACCTCAATACCAAGCCACAATGCCTGATGGAAAACTGTATAACTTTTGCAATTCCAGTTGTGTGGCTAAATTTCAGGTTGGTTATTTATTTTGCATACTTTACCCCCCAGTAAAATACACACAGAAAATAAACAGTGTAATATGCTATATCTTTATTTTTGGGTTAGCTTTTACATACTTTCTTGAGGGTCTAATTGGAAGATGGAGATTATAATAGAGTCTTGGAGGATGTTCTTAGCACCAGCTTCTTCTTTAGCATGGATAATCAAATTGACTTAAATTTTTATTTATGATAGACTGAAGAAAAAGTAAATAAATTTTAAGCATAGTTGATCTTAATGCCTGATGTTTATGTAGCATTGTCTTGGTAAGTGGATTTCAAATAAAATACGAATTTTAAGAGGAACTCTATTTTCTGATAAATGGATAAAGGAAGACCTAGGTATATTTAGCATGGTGAAGCAAAAATGCTTTCTTCATATATAAGAAATTTGCCGTTTAAAATGAGATTAGACTTGTTACAGTAGGCCCTAATTTTATACAGAACTATTGGGAGTTAGTTTTAGAGAAACATTTTTCATCTTGGTAAATGTAGACAAGTACTTCCTGACATAGTTCTTTAAAGTTGGAATATGGATAGGTTCAGGAGATGATAGTATTTCTGGAAATGTTCAAACTTCATCAGGTTGACCACTAGGAGGGAATTGTTAGAAGGCATTCAAGCATTAGTCAGATGGTATGAGTAGGTTTCCTTACTCTGTGTAAAAATTTCAGGGTATTACAATACCAAAGATTCAAACTATTGCATAAAGCCATGGCCTATGAATTAATTCCATCCAGAAATTCTCCTGTGTTCTAAGCACCGTTTTGTATGTTGTAATAGTTATTATAACACTTATTAGCATTTATATCAAGGCAGTTTTGAATTCACCCAGGCTAATGTTGTTTTTAATGGTTATAGCCTGGACTGAACTTAGGTGATAAATCACATTCAAGACTAAACTTTTGGAAGCTGGGATTTTAGCCATTGATAGATCCTTATAGTGGTAGATACTGCTGCTGACTTGTTGGCTTTTCTTTAACTAGAAATTAAGGGATAATGATAAGTTAATTAGAAGAGAGAGATACAGTGTCTTTGGCATGCTGCTTGTCAGATCTTGAACTCAGACCTTTATTCCTTTTTGATGTTGTTGGGTCACCTGAACAGTTAATTGAAAATGTTTTAACTGCTTGTTTCATTTAACTGAAACTTGTATTGCCCATGACATGATGAGACCGTTCATATTGTGTTGTTGTCGTTGTTGGGTGCCATCAAGTCAGTTCCAACTCATAGCGACCCTGTAGGATAGAGCAGAATTGCCCTAGAGGGTTTTTTTGGCTGTAATCTTTAAGGAAGCCGATCACCAGATCTTTTCTCCCACGGAATGGCTGGTGAGTTCAAACCACTGACATTTTGGTTAGCAGCCAAGCATTATCATATATGTGCGTTGTTTTTTTAAATATTTGATTTGGGCTCTTAATTTTAAAGAATACATCCAGATAAGCCTGCACCAGCCTCATTACTCGTAACTCTGCATGTAAATAATACAAAGTTGAAAAAATAAAGCAGCATATTCTTTCTCTTTATTTTATTTATCTTGAACTTTGTATTTTCATTAGATGCTTTTCCCTTTAAAAGTAAGATACTAGGATAGTATTCCATTTATTTTAGAATAGTAGTAAACATTTCAATAGGGTTCAAAGTTTTGGAAAACAAGGGGTAACCTTGCAGGCTTTTGTTATAAAAAGTTATTCATCTGATAGTTACTACCTTAAATCTGTTTTATTTTTTCAAAAATTTTACTTGTGTTATATAGTGTATACAGGGCTTTTGAAAATTGCTTTCCCCTTTACTGCACCTTGAACAATTTTTTTCTTAATGATTTCATACATTGAGAAGATTATGTGTTCTCTGTGTGTAATGTGGTGTAAAGAATGATTATTAAATACCAGCGTACTCACCACTCAGGTTAAATATTAGAAAAAAACTTTTAAAGTCCATATATGCTCATTTCCTGTTCTGTAAATTGTTGCTACTTTAAAAAATGTAATGAAACTGAAAATAAATTCCTGGTATGAATATCAGTCTGTAAATCTATTTAATGAAACCAACATTTCCCCTCTAACTTTAAGAAGTGGTCAATTTTTAAAAGTTGTTTTTGTCTGTTTTCACTGGTGGGGTTGGAATGAAGAGGATGGGAATGATTTGTGTGGGACAGATCATTAGTACTGTAAATTAGATAGTGGATGGTACATTGGAAGGAGCACGAGGGGCTAGTTCTCTGGGTTTTTTTTAAAACTTTTATTCACTAGTTCAGAACAACCACCTCACTGTTACTGGCTTATATTTTCTTGTAAAGTGAAAGAATTGTAATTTTACTATATGATTTTTCTTTTTGTATTATTTTGTTATTTGAAAAAATAGTAATTACACTGTAGTAAAAATTAATTGAATTTCAATTTCATAAACTTAATATTATATAATTAATATAAATCTCTTATACTAGTATAATTTTTAAAGACAAAACTCAGAAATATAGTTTTATGTGCTGAGGAAATATTTCAGCAAGATCATACTATTTTCTAGATATGGTAGATATTTGACAGTAGTTACAAATAAGCATTTTAAAATACATATCAGGCCCAGTATGTTTTGTTCTTTGTTTTAGGCTCTAAGTATGCAGTCATCTCCAAATGGCCAGTTTGTGGCTCCCAGTGATATTCAGTTGAAATGCAATTACTGCAAAAATTCCTTTTCTTCAAAGCCAGAAATCCTGGAATGGGAGGCAAGTCATGTTTTCTTATGCATGGTATCTAGAGATAAAATTGAAAGTCTGGTAAAATAACCATAGCATTTCTATCTGGGAACATTTTCTTAGTGGATAGGAATTAGCTTTCCAGATTTTGTGATGATTGTATTATTTATTTTCTTATATGGGAGGGGAACTAACAAAAGATCTATTTTCAGGTCAAACAATATTTTTTGAAATCATATTCTTGTGTATTATGTTTGTAATAGTGTACAGAAGGTCACTTTGTTTAGTATGAGCTGCGTACCTAGAGCATCTGTTTGCACAGTATTTTTCCTTTCCCTTATAAAAATTATCTGAACTATAATTTCTTGTATTGCCCGCTACGACAAATTAGAATTTGTTAGTCATTTATGACATTGTCATTTAACATTTTATAATTGGAAGAATGTTGAAGGCCCATTAAGGGGGAACAAAGGAATTATGAGGGACTCAGGAAAGAAATCCATAAGCAAGCACACAGAATAGTATACTATAGGAAATTACTATTCTGCATAACTGAATTTTGATAATACTAGATGAGAACAAGGTCCTTATTCACCATCCCCATGTCAGGGCTACCCTGCTTTTATGCTCTTACTAGTTTATTCCTCTATATGGAGTTTAAGTGTTGGAAGCAGTTAAGAAACAAACAACTCTAAATGAGAGTTTAACCTGTCCTTCAGGTGATTGACAATTCAGAGACCTCTTGCTTCTCACTCTTAAACGATTGGCAGTGACCACTGATGTTGCCCTTACTATTTGAGATGCTTCCTAGACTCTTTTATACCTTCCTCACCTTGGTAGGAAATCACTGGTAATGGCTTGGTAGATGGTTTAGAGCACATCTCCATAATAGGAGGAAAAATTGCCTGCCTGAAAGTTTGCAACTGCTTGGCTGAGTATTTGAAAAGCAGCTTTAGCTATTGTGGGTTTTTGAAACTACAACTAAAAAGATAAATAAGTAACTACTAACCATTCCATTCAAGAGAAGCTTAGCAACACACTATGTGATAGCAGCAAATTATATACTTCACTCCTAATAGGTCTGTTTACTTTTAAGCCCGTGATAGGAATGTGACTGTGCCTTATTGACTATACTCAACAAAGAATTTATTTCTGAACTGTTTGAAATGTTTTGAAGTAGTTCTTTTTAAGTGAAAATGTTATTAATATCGTCTTTCTTTAATATTAATATCATAATTCTCATCTTTCTGTAGCTAACCTATGTTGTATCTTCTATCGTTTTCTTTCCGTTTCTCCAATTCTGTTAGCAGCACCAGGCTGCCATTTTGTTTTAGTGATACTTTGACTCTTTTACTGAGTAATTTAGGGTAGTTAATGGTATTGAATTTTGTGGAGCTGTGTCTGAGTTTAGCAATGAATTAGTTAAACTAGGTGTAGCCCATAGGAGATGTATCCACTGGTATCATCACATTAAATAGGTAAATGTGTTAAACTTTCCTGTAATAGTGGTTGATTATTTCTTAAATTTGTTCTTGAGCTGGTTGTCACATACTCACCAGGGTTCCCATTGTGCGTTTAGAACAAAGTGCATCAGTTCTGCAGCAAAACTTGTTCAGATGACTATAAGAAGCTGCACTGCATAGTTACATATTGTGAATACTGTCAAGAGGAGAAGACTCTTCATGAAACAGTAAATTTCTCTGGCGTTAAAAGACCTTTCTGTAGTGAAGGCAAGTGTATATATACAGTGTTGTTTATAACTTTTACTAATATTTAATGTTATTTTTTGCCAGAATATTTTTAAATATATAACTATATGTCCAGATTTTAGTATGGTTTAAAATGTAATGTCCAGATTTTAATAAAAAAATTGAGTTTGCTTTTCTATTAATTTGCTTTGTTATTTTATATATATTTGTTAGACCTCTGGGCCTCAAGTTGTTTTATCTCAAAAAATATTGGTAACTTATTTTTCCATTGCAACAAAGTTTTGAGAATAAAATAAAAACGTTATTATACCATGTCATTCCTAACATTCAAAGAAATTGTGGTGTGCAAGTTGGTTTTCTAAGTGGATTGGAATTTTTTTCCATAGAGTCCACCTTGTATATATTCCCTGCCCGGCTTACTGCCCAGCCTACAAAGGTTTTCGATATACCAGGAAAAAAAAAAAAAAATCACATGCAGCAGTACTGCAATGGGAAAATACTTTCAGTTATTTGATTTGGAATGCCAGGGAAATAATTGGGTTTTGTTTCAGTACATTCAAGAATTTCCATTCCTCCCTTTGACAGTTTTGCTGCTTCAGCAGGCTATACAAGTGAACTTTAGTCTTAAGCCTACTTCTTCAGAGAATGGGAACCAGCATTGTACCTGTGATGTTTGGACTCTTGTTATTATTACTCCTCTCCAGATTTCACATTCTTACTCTAAGTTAGCTTTCATTTTGTATTCTTCCTTTTGCCCCAGACACTGAATTCCCCACTTTTCCTACCTGCTACTATCACCTATTGTTTTTCAGTTAGGATTTTTTTTTCCTATGGATTTTTCTGTGGATTTCTAGTTGGGAACAGGAGGAAGGTTAGAAAATCTTAAATGTCAGCAGTTGAGAAAGACAGTGAGATCCAAGGATTATTGGCCAATCTGACAAGTGCCTCCATTTATATATTTGGTATGTAAAATGAATTTATGACATAAGAGGGTACTGATTGTAAAACAAGGCATTGCTGTTAATCTAGGTGATTGGTACTACATTTCACCTAGAATGAAAGGTAACCATGTTTACTGTTACTTAAGATCAAAGCTGTAATGAAGTGACAAATCTTATCATTTTCCTTGAAAAGGTTGATTCTGAATTTAACTCTTTCACATCTGAATTTTTGTGGGACGACTATTTTACCGAATGTATTGATGTTGATGCCTCACATACATAGTAATGATCCTGTACCATTTGAATTACATGAATTTTACCAAAGTTAATAGAAAATTAACAGCAAGTAGACAATTGGCATTGAACAACATAATTTTCATTTGGAGGGACATAAATTTAGATGGGCAATAAGGGGTTAAAAAAGATGTGTGTTTTTTTTTCCTAACGTATTTTATGCTTTCTCTAATGACACCTGGTTCTCTGCTAGAGGCTGCCGGAAATTACAAAACATAAAACATTAAAATCTAGTTAGAAAGATAAAACTAATAAAAGTACAATGTAAAAAATGTCCTTAAATATAGTTACAGACAAAAGAAGTCATAGGACAGTACATAAATGATTGCCAAATAAATTATATACAAAACTGTTGTAATTCGTGTTCACAGATGGGAAAGACCATTTAAAACTAGGTGGGTGGAGGAGGTTTACATTTACAAATAGGTAAAAGAAATATTTTAAACATTTAATAAATATAAAGGAATAGGATAAGAAAACATTTTCTCTGAACAAATCAATAAACCAGTTTTACTTTAGAGTTTTATGTAGGATGACAGAGGTAAGGCAGGAAATTTTGGCTAAAAGTCCCTGGGAGCTGCATATGGTTAATGTGCTTGGCTGCTAACCAAAAGGTTGCAGGTTCAGGTCCACTCAGAGACACCTTGAAAGAAGGCCTGGTGATCTGCTTCTGAAAAAATCAGCCGTTGAGAACCCTGTGGAGCACAGTTCTGCTCTGACATACATGGGGTCGCCATGAGTCAAAATTGACTTGATGGCAACTGGTTTATCCATAATTTTATTCAGTGCCTCTCAGCAGTCTGTACTGATGTATTTCTCTAAAATACCTGTTTGTGATGTGTTTACTTTATGGTACTTAAGCAAGATTTTATTTAAATAGAACAAATAAAATATTTCTAAGATACTACTGGTCTGAGAACATTAGTTATTTGAACTAATATGTTATCTAATATACTATTCCATATATTGTTCCTATTTATTACAGATTGGTTTTGACTACATCATAGTTTTGATTAGATGGGAAAGAGGACTTTATATGTGGATTTATAGAACACTTCTAAAGCTGTTGATGAGCTGTTTGATCTACAAGATCTTGCTCAGCTCAAAAATTAGTTTTTGATGTGTTGTTTTAATATTTAAACTTAATTTTTCAGGCTGCAAACTATTGTATAAGCAGGATTTTGCAAGACGTTTAGGATTGAGATGTGTCACTTGCAACTATTGCTCTCAGCTGTGTAAGAAGGGAGCAACAAAAGAACTTGATGGTGTTGTGAGAGATTTCTGCAGTGAAGAATGCTGTAAAAAATTTCAGGATTGGTACTACAAGGCAAGTAACTCAAAAATCTTTATTACAGCAGCTACCTTAACCAATCTTTGTAGTTTTACCATTGCAAATATATTTGCTCATATTTATTTTTAAAATATACAAATATTAGGCGTAGTCCTGATTATACTGTGTGTTGATTTTTTTGTCATTTCAGTTTATTGCTAACTTGAAGTAACGTTTTTATTTGTTTTATAATTTAGGAATTACCAAAGACTAGGATATAGCTGTATTTTCAACAATGCATTTTAACAAAATGGATTATTTCTTTAAAATTCATTGTGTCTTGATTTCACTTAATACAAATATTTTTGACTACTTCCTCAGCCTTGAACATTAGCATTTTTTGAATAGTTGGTAAGATTTTAAAATACTTTTTTTTTTTTTTTTTTCCTTTTTAATTGTGGATTTTTGGAGACTTTCAAAGTGAAAGGACACTAAATGGATAAATAGACACCAACAACATTTATTTTGAAACTGCAGATTTGGTGTGTGTTGTGTGTCTGTCTTATTTAAATCTAATTTTTAAAAAGTCCAGGTAAATCCCTTTTGGTCCCTGCATTAGCTGCTTTCTAGATAAGAAAATAAGCATAAATTTGAATTTCAGTAATCAGATATTACCTGGGAAAGAGTTGTTAATTCCTCTGTCAATAACATGGAAAGCCATCTCAATACTAAATGGTGTCTTTATGACTTCAAAATTTTGACTACCTCTAATTAAACAAACAGTAACAAGGTTGAAATATGGAGAATATTATTTAGTCCACTTAATGAAAGTGATTGTGTTAAAATGGTACTAATTTGAGAACTGCAGGGATTTTGAGTGTTGTTCTTGAATGTCTACAGCTCAAAAATTAACTACAAAAATAATACAGAGTTCTTGAAATATGCCATTCTAGAGGTATGCTGAGGAAGATTACTTTATGAGTTGTCAGAGGTAAAATAATTGAGGCTAAAAGGTTTGATGTACTGTTTCAAAGTTACTTTGTTATTTTACTGTTGCTTCTGACTTAAAATTAATATTTTAATTTTGGAAACACAGAGAAGACAAATATGCTAGCACGGTAACATGTTTATAGTCTAAACCAATATTTTGTTCAAAAACCTGTTTTATTATTTCAGAGAGTAACTTTTTGAGAAATCAACTTAGAAAATGTTATTTGATAGCTTTAAATGCTCAATTTTAGTTTGGCACACACAAATACGTCTTTCTCTCCATGGTCTGGGGGATTTTAGTTTTGAAAATTTGTTTTGGATAATCTCAAAACAGTAAAGGTATTTAGTTACCACAATTTGGAAATTCGTTTTATTCTTACTACCTGCTCTCCTTTTTATCACATATCTTAATTGTTCGAAACAGATATTGTTACATGTGAAAATGATGATTTCCTCGTCGTTATTTTATTGTACAAATGTATGCATAATTTTGTAATTATGAATTCCAAACTTGAATATATTTAATAATGTTCTGTCTTGGAGGATTTTGTTTTTATTTATAATTCACTGAATGTACTTCTCTGGCTTTTTACTTAGAAAGAAAACCTCCTGTTTTCTTTTATTTATAATTAAAATACAGAAACCTGTTGTTCTTCTTTTTCGGGAAGCAGAGAAGTGCTCCCTGGCAAAAGAACACTTTATTTTAGATGTTATCATTTGGTCCATTTTGCTGCTTGTTTTAAAGGATAATTGTATCTATGTTCTCATTTTTGTATTGTTCAATAGTGAAAATTCAATGAAACAGTGTATTTTGGAATATATAAGAATATATTAGTTAAATATCCAGTTAATTATCTAGTTATTTTTAATGTCAGTATTCTAAACATTAAACACATTTTTAATATATATTCCTTGTCTTACTTTAAACCCTACAAATGTTTTGTATAATATACACAATATCACTATTACATATTATACAAATCTGAGGAATACAGGTAAGAAATATTTTTGTCAAGTAATAGAATTTGCGAAGGAAGTAACACTGATGATATTTCTATACAATAACACAGTATATAATAAAACCTTCAAAGGATGAAGAAAAGAATTGCCCCTTCCTGATTCATCCTTGGCTTCTCTATGGAGACAGCCATTGTTATATTTCAAAGAGTAAGTTTTTATATTGTGTGCTTTCGCCTGAGTCAAACCGTATTTCCTTACACCTCTCCTGAGTTGCTTCCATTTACTACTACCACCATCACCATCATCTTGAAAATGTGCTAAATGAGTCCAGACTAATGCTTTTTTGATACTCTTTCTGTGTCTACAGTTTGTCTTTTTTATATAAGTATTCAAAATTTTAGATTTTAGTCCATTAAAAAATGTGACCCTTAAAATCAATCTAGCTTGTTTGAGGGGAGAGGGAGAATTTAAATTGTTTAAAAAAAGTGTCTTATCAAGGAACATTCAAAAACATAAGCTAGCCAATCTGATTGTTATTTCACCTTTGGGTATGAGTATTTACTTCATAAGTAGTGGAGTACACAAATTGTATTTTCACCTTCCTGTATCTTTACCCTTTAAATTGAGAGATTATCTAGACCATAAATAACTTTTAAAATTATATTTAATATCATGGTTTTTAAGTCCCTGCTTGTGTTTATTTAACAAGAAATTTTGAATAATTTGTCTTTTGTGGTGCATATAATGGCTTGTTTCTGGATTTCAAGTGGACATTTAGTAAATACTGTCTTCTCCAAATTGGACTTTGAAATGTTGACCCTCATGCAAGCAGAAAATGAGAATTAATGTCTTTCTTTGCCCAGATAACTTCTTAGAATGAAATAGGTTTTACTTTTCCTCAAAGTAAATGTTGCCAGGCAATATGTAAAACCAGGTGGGAGGATGACTTTTTAAAATCTCAATAAATTTAAAATGTTTGAAGAAAAAGGATTGTAATGGATTAATAGCTAGAAGGTGTTCAATACATGGTGAAGATAATATTTCAAAGGCCCTTTGTTTCCTAAGTGGCCTAGTGGTTAAGTGCTACAGCTGCTGACCAAAAGGTCGGCAGTTTGAATCCACCAGGTGCTCCTTGGAAACTCTGTGGGGCAGTTCTACTCTTTCCTATAGGGTTGCTATGAATTGGAATCGACTCAGCGACAACGGTTTGGGTTTTTTTTTTGGTTTTTGTTTCCTTATAATACTTCACACTATTTAGTTGATCTAAGCTTTTCCTAAAATTTATTACTTAAGGTTACAAAATTTATTAACACAGGTTTTGATTTGTTTTACAAACCAGTAGTGAATGGTGACAATATTAAATTGTTTAATGCAAATGACATATAATAATTTAAATCTAACACTATGACTTACAAACTTTGATCAAATTAATACTTACGTTTTATTACAAAGGTGTAAAAAGATGGCTGAATGCAAAATATTATTGGACATTTCTAAATATTTTTTGTTTTTTAAATCTATAAACTGCTAGATATAATGTGCTTTTTTATTCTTTATTTTTGAAATTAATTTTCAAAAGATAGTATCCAATGTTTTTTATTTAAAACTGAAAAATTCCTGTTACTTAAATGTTTGTATAGTTCCCAATCATCTCCTGTTTTATCACTGCATTCTTTTTTGGTGGGGGGGGTGAGTAGTAAATCACCCCACAGTACTCAGACTGATATATTGGGAAGTTGTAAAGGATTCCTTTTAAAAATATCTGTGAAATTCCCCTAATTCATTCATATTCATAATCTCCCTCACCCTGCAAAATTAGGTTTGTTTAGTGAAATAGGGAACACAAGTGGTTGGGAATGTTACAAGGATGTATATCAACCAAAAATGAGACGTTGAAACTCTGCAGGGGACTGCAGGCAGAATATTGTCTGTCAGTTACTGAAGAAGAGATTCTTGTATTAGCTGAGAGGTTGGATTAGGATTATTTGAATCAGAGTTTAGTACCTGCCTATTTAGGTTGTTTGAACCAGTTATTGTTTTTGTTTTGTTTTAACAACGTGCAATCCTTCATTTACCACAGTGACAAGAAACTTTAGATATAGCTAATAATGATGCAATATTTTTGAACCAGAGACTTATGCCACACTTCAGTTCTTACGCTGTATAATTATTAAGCTTTAAGTGCTCCCAGTTGAAGGTGAGGAGAGGGGTGTTGGTAAGGAATGGTGGTCATTTGTGATGTTTTTAAATTGACCATCAGATTCTAGCCCAATTCTAGTGAACTAGGAGTTTGAAAGTGAAGAGAGGGCTGTTGGTAAGGAATGGTGGTCATTTGTGATGTTTTTAAATTGACCATCAGATTCTAGCCCAATTCCAGTGAACTAGGAGTTTGCAAGAGTTGCTTTAAAAGAATTAAAGAAAAAAGAAGATTCACAACCTCCAAATTTTTGATTATAGCATTAGGTTTAGCTTTTAGCCTGAAAATACGTATACATACTTTTATGCCATTTGCAAATTGGTGTTAAACTTGCCCTTATTTCTTTGGATTGAGAGAAATCATCCAAATTTATTTTGAACCTTCTGGAGGAAAGGAGCTTCAGATAGCATACTATAAAAACCAAAGTGTCTATAATCAAAGAATAATGAAGTGATTTCATTATTTAGATTCTCTGGGTGGAATGTGTTTAGTTTTATGCCCTTTGCCTTCTAAATTATTGTGTAAATGGAGATGCTACCATGCACTAAGAGTCAGTACATATAGTCATTTGAATGAACTTTTTATACATTGATTTGGGCTTTAGATATTAAGAACCTCCTTTTGTAGCATTTTCTAGGATTTTTATTCTCAGTTCAATTATGTAAACTCATTTTGTCTTACTATGGTCATTATAACGTGGTGTACAAGATAAAGCCTAGGTTTTGACTTTGGTTGTCTTTTTTGAATCTTATCGCTGCATTTTTAATATTTGTCTTTAGAAAAGTCACTCAACCGTTTTGGATCTTAGTTTCCAGTACTCAGTTTGCAGGGCTGTTGTGAGCTCTGTAGAGAGTAGATACAAAGTTCTTAGCTTTTATTACAGGTTCTCCATGAAAGAGGTAATCAGGCTACAACGACTTTTCTTTACCTGACTTCCTACACTGTTTAGGTTCATTGAATAGAATGTTAAAGTTTCCATTTTCTTACTCTGTACTTTGTCTTTTCTTGGAGTTTAAATTATAAAAGGGGAGAAAGAAATCGAAACCTAGAACACGCCTTTGTCTATTTTAAAGAACATCCTTGGCTGGTGAGAATTTTATACAGGGATTTTTTTGTCATTATTGACTAAGTATGACCTACGTTGATATTAACTGCTGCTGTTATAAAGATTACCACATCTTACTAGCAATACAGTATTTGAGTTCACAAGTATTTTTGACAAGAGATATGATAGTGGCATCACTTAGTAGTCATTTATAGTGCAATTCTGCTTCATTCATTTAACATTTATTCAGCAGGAGAAATACCTGACCTGGAGAAAAAAAAGAGCCTGTGTTCTAACCTTGGGGTATGTTTATTATATAAAACCTGTTTACCAACATAATCATTTGTTAATATTCTTGACTATGGATTTTGACATAGTATTTATCTATAGGACTCTTATTGAGATATAAAGTGAGAGATTTCAAAATCATAGTATAGCACTCTAGATGAATGAGGAAAATTCACAGCCACAATTATAAAACACAAAAAACTTAATGTTTATTGCTTTATCAAAACTTCTTAGTTGTTAGTGAAGACTAAGGATGATTTTAAAAATCATAGTAATTTATTTCTACTCTTAACTAGATCAGAAACTTAATTATGAAAGGTACTATATTTGAAATTAATCATGTGTATTTCTGGTTCACTCATTGTTTGAGATGTTAAGAAACAGGGAAAATGGGATCTCTGAAAAATAAAAATCTATCCCTAGGTTATTTATTGGCCATCATGAAGTATAACTATATGAATTTTAATTGTTATTTTTGCATATTGTTATGGTCTCATTAGGGCTGATTCTTTTCTTAGTTGTAGGTCAAACTTGTTATCTTAAGATACAGTTTTTTTTACATAATTATATATTGAGTGTTTTAAAACATGAACCTGGAATCTTTAAATTGAATCAGTGTATTTTTTTAAAGCTCTTCAAATATATTCTCTTAAACTGTTGAGAAACAAAAATGGTTCAAGTTAACATCTGTAAATTTCCCATCATAAGAGCTTCAGAATTACTGTGGTCTTTTGCATCTTCTTTAAATTGATTATATGAGCCATCAGTTGAGCCTGGGAGATCTTTTCATCAATCAGAAATTTTCAATGTAATGCAATTGTAGACTTATGCCAGTGTATCATTATGGCCCTCAAAATAACTTTTAAAAATTGAAATATGTATCAATTCGGTCTGTCGATGTTCACTTTTATTGGTTGTTCCATCCTTGTAATGTTGGTCTTTGACTTTTGGTAAGTACAGAAAGGGATATTGTCAGTTGTTCCAATTTTCAGTTTTATTTCTTGTGGATTTTACTTCATGTATGTGATTTGTATTATAATTTTCTTTCTTTATCAGACATTTTATCACATTTGGAAATAATCATAGATAAAGTGTTGCAAATCTTTTAAAATCCTTCTACATGTTTGAATTTTTAAGCTTTCTAATTTGAAATGTCTGAAACTTTGCTTTTTCATTCTGTAAGGCTGCAAGGTGTGACTGTTGTAAATCTCAAGGAACTCTTAAAGAGCGAGTTCAGTGGCGTGGAGAAATGAAACATTTCTGTGATCAACATTGCTTACTTCGTTTCTACTGTCAGCAAAATGAGCCCAACATGACAACTCAGAAAGGGCCTGAAAACTTACACTATGGTATGTAATACTTCAGGTGGTAACTTGAAAAACTTATACAGCAGTCTTTTTTCTTTACTTCTGAGTATAAGACAGTGATAATGAATAGTTAATTTTGGAATTAGTTTAACAGCAATTTAAATTCCATAGTTTCTCTGGGCAGGAGTATCCCATATGCTATTGAAGATGCGATAATCCTTACAGATACATTGTTTTTTACTTTATTCCCTTTTTAAATTTTACTGCTAATTAAAGAAATAGGTTCTAGTTGGGATTGAAGAGATGCTCAGCAAAATCACAGAATTTTTTAAAAAACCATCTACCTTTCATGTGTCATCTGCATTTTTGAATGAAAACCATTTTACCAAATTGTATGTGTTGAGAGTGGTTGTGAGCAATAACAAAAACCTCTGGAAGCTGTGACCTTTGTTGATTTTTAAGACTTAAATCCAAGAACATAGGATTGCCCCTAGAGCAATGTGTATTTTTTGAGGTGGCAAGATGAGAAAAGAGTTAAGTCTACTTATTTAGGTTCGTATTTCAGCACTTTCTACTCATATTTGAGACGCTTTGCTTAAAATATTTACTTTAATAAATAAGAAATACAGGTTTGGAAAATTCTGAAGAAAGTGATAACTTGTCTTTTAAAAAATGTGTTTATGTTTTTAGATCAGGGTTGTCAGACATCCCGAACCAAAATAACAGTAAGTATTATTTAAGTGAAGTGTTAAATTTTTATTTTCATAAAGTGGTACTGTAAGTTGGGGGTAAGAAAATAATTGTGACAATATAATAATAAAAGATTTCTTATTTTCCTCTGCTGGGACAGTGAAAGTATTCAGCTGAATTATCTGGTGTTAAGACCAGATACTTTCAAAAACACTGTGGAATATATAGATGAATAATTATAGCCTCTACGCACATTATGGAGGATAGATATATCCTAATGTAAATAAATCGTTATTACTTGATTTAAAGCGCTGGTAATAATTATGCATAATGAAGACAGTAGCCATTGTTGCTAGTTGATGTTAGAACAGTGACTGAATCTGTTCCTGGAGGATGTGAATAAGCATACTTTGTGAACAGTTGAGAAGAAAGTCCCCAGGTAGACAGGGGTGAAAAGTAGGAGGAATAATAATAGTTTGCAGAGTGCATGCATCTTTGGCAAAACTACAGGTGTTTCATTATGACCAGAGTTTAAAGGGATCTGTGGTGGAATAATGGGAAATGAGGCTGAAAGGATACACTAGGTCCAATTTTTAATGGTTTTGTGCACTTCTCAGATTCTTACCTGATATATCTATGTAGATTTATTTATGTTGGAGGTAGGACTTAGGACTTCTTAAACTTGATAAATACTTCCACAGTGTGACCCCCTTTTTGAAATTTAGCCTATTTTTCCTTTCTTTTTGTGTAATACATCAAATTCTACTTTTATGTTAGTATTTTAAAGACTTGCGGAGTTTTAAAGTGGCCATTTCTGTGTAATAACTTTTAAGAGAAGAAGCAATGCTTTTGCCACACTTTGAAAAACAGTGAGGCACCACTTGCCCTCTCTATGATAAGTCTAACAGTAATTACCAGTGTTGGAAACCTGGTATTTCTAGCATCCTTATCCAAGAGAAGCTGTTCAGGAGTCGTTTGTGGGCATATTATAATAAGTTTGTGAGCCTAGTTCTTGTTGTGGTAGATGAGAACAGATGAGTGATTCTTAGCTGTGCCTGGCTGCATATCAGAATCACTTTGGGAGTTTTCAAAACCTACCAATGTCAGGTTCCCAACCCCAGGAATTCTGTATTTTTTTAAAGTTCCTTGGTTCATTCTAATATGTAACCAGAGTTGAGGATCACTGATGTAGATGAAAGATGAATGTTTTTGCATTTATTCAGCTCAAGTTTATTTTTATTTTTGATGTTGATAGTTGAACAGTATCCTAGAAAAATAAGCTGTACTTTTTCCTTTGCTTTTCCCCTCCCCCTTAAACTTTCCTCACCTTGTGGAAATATATTTTAAGTCAGATAATACAGAAGTATTTTGCTGAATTATCCCATTTTAATACCAGAAACTTATATACATGCGGAAGAATATAATCACTTCCTATTTTGTTAACCTTTCTGTAGCGATAAGGCAACTCCCCAACCTTGTTTCAAAGATGTAAGCTTTTGACCAAGGCTTCAAGAAACCCCTTACACCAGCACAATATTATATACGTTTTTTCCTTTTGTGAGGGAACCACATTATATGACAAACAGAAGGATGGAGGGAGCATTATTAGTAGGGAAAGGTAAATCAGTTTGCCATTGATACTATTGCCTTTTGTCTTATAAAGTCCTCTCCCATCTTTTCCTTGTAAGCTTTGGAATCTTTTATTTATCTACCTATAAACTTCAAAAGATGAGAACTTAGCTATATAATTTTGGACAAGTTACTTCATTTTCTTTGTGTGAGCTTCCTTATCTGTAAAATGGGGATGAAAACAGTACCTACATCAGGATTGTCACATAGTAAGTACTAAACAAGTGGTAGCTATTGTGTGCCAGAGCTTGTCAAGGAGTATGTGCAGCAGTTTTGAACCTAGGATTTGGCATCAGTTGAATGTAGTTGAATCTTGACTTCAGAAATTTTAGCTTTGTGACCCTTGGTAGGTTGTGTAACTTGTGAGCATCAGTTTCCTCAACTGTAAAATTAGAGTGATAAAAATAAAAAGTCCTACCTCTTGTGGTACTATGAGGATAAAATAAGATTTAGTGGCTTATACAGTACCTAGCATATAACAAATGGTAGTTTTGTCATTATTTTCATTAGCTTGAGTTCTTTTCCAGGGTTCAGCATAAATAGTTATAGATCATGCCTATCAAGTTGTGGCTAAAGCATTTTAAAACAGAAAGATGTGGGGATTGAGTTTAGGTTTTCAGCCGGTGGCATAGTTTAATTGACATGAAGTAATATTTGCAGAATGGCAGGAGGATGAAATACTGAGTGATCCTGGGACATAAATGATTTTGGACTTCTCATTCTAAAGTGGGGATAGAGTATTTTCCAGTTCAGACCAAACTTACCCAGTGCTTGGTACATAGTAGATACTCAGTAAAAGTTCACTAAGTTATTCTCCCCATTTTACATATGAGGAAATTGAGGCACACAAAGTTGAATGACTTGCCCATTGTCACACAGCAGGAGTGTTACAACCCAGTTTCCCAGCTCCTTGTTGAGGACTCTTCCTCTCTCTCACAGCTGATTAATTATGTTTTTTTGAAATCCTGATGAATCTGGAATAAGATCTTTCTAGTACCAGCCCCCATAGTATTTGTAACTAGTGAGGTATCTACTATAATTTTTTGTAAACCTTTAAAATACGCACATACAAATTTTTTAAGCAGTAAGTGCTTTATTCAAGTATTACTATTACTATTCTGTACCTACTTTCTCCCATATCAGTAGGTGGTATGGAAAGCACCTTATCCTAAGCCCCTTAAGGACAAATATTCAGCTTTTAGCTTATTCCAGATTTTTAGTTGTTTATTTTGCAGTTATAAATAATAACACAGTGAACATTGTAAAACATCTGAGAGATTGTATCTATAAGTTTCTAAACATGTAATTATTGGGTCACAGGGAATACAGAATTCAGTGTTTGATAATATTCTTGGTAAATTGGGTAATTCTTTTTGTAGCTTTTCTTACCTTTTCAAATTTAGTGCCATGTAATTTGTTTATATGGAGCCCTAGTGGTACAGCAAGCCCTTGGCTGCTAACGGAAAGGTTAGCTGTTTGAACCCACCCAGTGACTCTGGGGGAGAAAGACCTGGCAATCTGCTCTAGTAAAGATTATAGCCTAAAAAACTCTACAGGGCAGTTCTACTCTGTCACATGGGGTCTCTATGAGTCAAAATCTACTCGAAGGCACCTAAAGCAACAACATCTGTTTATCCAGCAAAGTGAGCACTAGAGTATCAGGTAGTCATAATAACTGCAAATAAATTTAAAAGATAGTAGTTATTTCTACAGTTCAGGTTAATAACTGACTTTATACTTAAGAATTCTCTTTTCATATTTTTTCTGAAAATATGTTGATGCTATCCTTTGAAGAAAAGAGCCCTGGTGGTGCAGTGGGTAAGGCAATTGACTGCTAACCGAGAGGTTGGCGGTTCGAAACCACCAGCAGCTCTGCAGGAGAACAATGTGGCAGTCTGCTTCTGTAGAGATTTACAGCCTTGGAAACTATGGGGTTGCTGTGAGTCAGAATTGACTCAGTGGCAGTGGGTTATCTTTGGAGGTGACACAAATCTTTAGAGCAAATAATTACTACTGCTTTGCCAGTACTTAGGACGTTGATTAAGAGTATGGCAAACATAGTTAATAATAGAATAATTGAGTTATACTCTCTAAGCTTTTGTGTGTTCCCTACTCAGGACTTAGAAACCAAATACTAGTGCCAAGAAGTGATGAAAATTAGAGGCAGAAATACAGTGTTTTCTCTTTGCTTCTCTATAGGGTTCAGCACCACCCCCTTCTCCAACACCCAACAAAGAGATGAAGAACAAAGCAGTTCTTTGCAAACCTTTAACAATGACAAAAGCCACTTATTGTAAACCTCACATGCAGACCAAATCTTGTCAGACAGGTAACAGGAAGATTTGACTTATGTATTTCATTATACTTAAAGTTTCACTTAATAATATACATAGTTTTCTCAAATAATAGGCTACAGAATAGATTTGTTTTGTCAATTTTCTGTTGCTTTTCCTTATATAATTGTAGATATTACCTTGAGAATACAGCATATCATTTTAAATCATATTTAAGATAAGTCAATCTTCTGATAAAGGCCTAGAGTCTATATAAATGATATGTCAAAAGTGAGAAAATATCAGAAATTTCCTTGGGACTAAGACCTTACTAGGAATAGTGTTCTCTCTGAGAAAGTCATCTCTTTAAATATGGTCAATAAAGATAATTCTGTTTCCTTTCTATCAGAATGAGGTGAAATATGTTTTCATCAAATTTATAATGGTACCTGTATTCTAATTGTTTGATTAAGGCATTTGAGGGGGGAGGTGAGAGGAGTTCAGTGGGGTATCTGGAACTGTATGTTTTTAAAGATGTTTTAAGTTCAAACAGCTGCTACATCTATCTTTTGTTTGTTTTGTTTTGAAGTTACCGAATCTTGTCAAAGTAGAATTTCTTTCAAATGGAGGCACTTAAGTATTTTTCTTTGTTATCAAATTGCTTTAACTTTGAGCAGTTATGTATAAGTAGCAGTTAACATTGCTCCTTATACGTATGTCTTCTGTACTTTTAGATGATAATTGGAAAACAGAATATGTTCCAGTGCCTATTCCTGTGCCTGTGTATATCCCAGTACCTATGCACATGTACAGTCAGAATATTCCTGTTCCTACTACAGTTCCTGTTCCTGTAAGTCAGATTTTGAGCTCTTTTCACTTTGAGATTTATCAGGCACAGGTGGGAAAACAGTAATCTTATTGCAGTTACTAGCTTAGTGGGTTGCCTTTCTTCAATAAGTGGCAGGTTTGGTTGAATCTCTGTTGTTATGATTTTGTTTTATTAGGTTTTCTGTTTTGTGTTTTATTGGGTGTTATGTTCATCATTGAGATAGAAGTTTAGCAGCTGTCTGCCTTATGCATGTTGTATTTCATATTTGAGTTTGTTTTAGAAAAAAAAAATTTGTGAAGCCATAAGGTTTAGAACTGAAACCTAGAGTTTCATATAAAACATTACATTATTTCATTCCAAATCTCATGTAATACTCAGGACACTGTGTCAGAGCATGGACATTTTAATGAAATGAGGAGCAACCACCTCAAAACTCTGTTTCAACTTTTATTTCAAAAGTGCAGCTTATAATTTGGGCTTTCCCTATCACAGTTGATATCTTAGTTTGGATAAGTATTTTTTTCAAAGCTTTTATACAGTATGGTATTATAAAGTAGATCCTGTGTCCATAGTTTTTGATTTGGAAGAATATCTTCTAATGTTTAGTCAATCTCAAAAGTAAATACTTCACTTAATTAGGTGCCAGTTCCTGTTTTTCTGCCTGCCCCATTGGAGAACAGTGAGAAGATCCCTGTAGCAATTGAGGAGATAAAAAGCAAAGTTTCCTCAGATCCTCTTGATGCAGAGTTGCTTACAATGACAGATATGATGAATGAAGATGAGGGAAAACCAGAAGCTGCCAGCATCAACAGTAAGCTATACTGTATTCCCTTATGAATAAGTATATCATTGGTTTTTTTTAAGTGTTGTAAATTGTTACTGTACTCTCCAGGACACATCATAGTGCTTTAACTTGATATGGCAGTGGTGGAAATATTGCAACAAAAATGTATTTTATACTAAAAGATCTGCGCATTTAGCCACATGCCTTTTTTTCCCGAGACAAATTTCAACAGGAATTTGGATAGTCTCTTAAGTATTCATTATTAACAGAATTTGACTCATAAAATCAACTCAGTTAGTCTTGTTAATCAAATAGCACAGGTACAGAAGTAGTTACAGGCTTTGATAATGATTCAAGCTCTTATTTTATAATAGTTACTCCCTAATTTTGGCTATTTGCTTATAGTAATAAAATAATTTACATTATATAAACCAGGGTTTAGTATAACCTTTGTTAGGACACTGCTTGCCAAATGATATACTATGATGATTGTATTGTGAATGGTTGTTAAGTGTCCTAGAATATTTGTCCTCTGATGACACACAGAGCCCTTTTTTTTGCCACGGGCTACCTAATTCCCTTTACTCTAGAGTATAATAAAAACACTATAATATTCTATGTATTTCATAATGTGATGATGTTTGTGAAGTACCTTTAGGAAATTGTGAAATTAACGTAGTGTGTTGTGACCAGTGTTTTTAAAAAAGTAAATGTTTTTTAAAAATTTTCTATCAGAAAAGGTAAGTATTGTTTTTTGACATTTGAAAATTTTGAAAAATTTTAAAAATGTTCCAATGTGTATGTGTATCTATGATTGTCTTCCACGACCATCCTGTACTGTGTCCAACCAAACCAAACCTGTTGCTGTCGAGTCATTTCCGACTCATAGCAACCCTATAGGGCAGAGTAGAATTACCCCACAGGGTTTGTAAGGCTGTAAATCTTTATAGAAGCAGACTGCCACATCTTTCTCTCATGAAGCAGCTGGTGGGTTCGAACTACCAACCTTTCAGTTACAGTAGAGTGCTTTAACCACTGTGCCAGCAGGGCTCTTCCTGTACTGTTTTATGGATAAAATATATTTATTTCTTACTGTGGGTTACAACTGAAAAAGTTTGAAAGTAACTGATAACTACATTAGAAGGCATTTGTATTAATGGTGTAGAATTCAAATTTCAAAAAGAATGATGAAAATTGCAGTTATCTACCCTCATCAGTTTATTTCTGACAAGAAATTACTTTTAGAAATATTCTTCATACCAGAGTTGTTTTACAATCAAAGCACATTTTTTAACTTTTGAAGGGAGCCAGTCAAAATTTATAGGATTGAAAGTTTTGGTTTACTCATGATTATCCAATTACAATTATAAAAATTATAGTAGTTTAAAAGATGCTATATGTCTTACCTTTTATGTCCTGTTAATAGTTACAAGTATTTGGTCTTGTCTTGCATTTACAATTAAATGACTCTCTTCAGCCAAATTAAAGAAGGATTCTATTGGGGTTTTCTGTTACGGTTTTTTTTTAAAAACAGCTTGGACAAATCTTATTTTGTAAAGAATGAAGTCATGTTGTTGTTAGGTGCTGTTGAGACTCATAGCGACCCCAAGTACAACAGAATGAAACACTGCCCTGGTCCTGCGTGCCATCCTCACAGTCATTGTTATACTTGAGCCCATTGTTGCAGCTCCTGTGTCAGTCCATCTCTTTGAGGGTCTTCCTCTTTGATGCTGACCCTCTACTTTACCAAGCATGATATCCTTCTCCAGGGACTGATCCCTCCTGCTAACATGTCCAAAGTATGTGAGACGAAGTCTCACCATCTTTGCCTCTAAGGAGCATTCTGGCTGTACTTCTTCCAAGATAGATTTGTTCATTCTTTCGGCAGTCCATGATACATTCAGTATTCTTTGCCAACGTCATAATTCAAAGATGTCAGTTTTTCTTTGGTCTTCCTTATTCATTGTCCAGCTTTCACATGCATATGAGGTGATTCAAAACACCATGGCTTGGGTCAGGCATACCTTAGTTTTCAAGGTGACATCTTTGCTTCTTAACACTTTAAAGAGGTCTTTTGCAGCAGCAGATTTGCCCAATGCAGTGCCTCATTAGATTTTTTTTTTTTTAATTGTACTTTAGATGAAGGTTTACAAACTAGCTTCTCATTGAACAATTAGTGCACATATTGTTTTGTGACATTGATTACCATCCCCATGCCATGTCAACACTCTCCCCTTCTTGACCTTGGGTTCCCTATTAACAGCTTTCCTGTCTCTTCCTGCCCTTCTAGTCCTTGCCCTTGGGCTAGTGTACCCCTTTAGTCTCATTTTGTTTTATGGGCCTGTCTAATCTTTGGCTGAAGGGTGTCTATTATGATTTCTAATGATACTGGAGCCCTGGTGGCAAACTGATTAAGAGGTCAGACGGCTGCTAACCAAAAAGTCAGCAGTTCAAATCCACCAGCTGCTCCTTGGAAACCTTATGGGGCAGATCTGCTCTGTCCTGTTAGAGCTGCTATGAGTCAGAATTGGCTCGACAGCACACAGCAACAGCAACAATTGGAGTTTTCTATTATGATTTCTAATGATATTATGGATTGATTACAGGTGTAATTATTGAAACAGATATCATTGGTTCAGATATCTTGAAGAACTCTGACCCAGAGACACAATCTACCATGCCTGATGTACCATATGAACCAGATTTGGATATCGAAATAGATTTTCCCAGAGGTACTGAAATAAAACATTAATTTTTCATTGTGAACTATGGTTATGGAATTTAGTTATGGAGTCATAACTGTAGTTAAGCATTTAATGTTTGTGACATTGCCTTTATTGTTCTTATTTTAGTTTTTCCGTTAGTCAAATCAAACTCAACAGTTAGCTTCTGTGAAGTACAGAATTGGATTGAACTGTAGGGACTTCAGAATTTCTTAGAACTTTAAAAAACTTTCTGAGGGTTAATTTATTGTGGGACGTTTTGAAGACACAGAAAAGAATTAAGAAGCGTTTGTGTCTGGTTTTTTATTTTTTATTTTCTTAATTCTAAAATATTAATAGCATTTTTCTTAAGACCTTTTTGAAAATTACATTCACTTTGAAAGGAAGAAAGTTATTTTCAGGTCTTTTGTGATAAAAGAAATGTGTTTTTTATTTTCTGAATCTGTCAATGTCTTGGGAACAAGTTGAATAGAATATAAAACGTTTTTTGAAAAAGGTTTAATAGATCAAAACGTTTATGTTAAGACCATTTAGATCTTTTAATTGAATTTCAAGTTTTGATACTTTTGCTAATATCACACATGTCCATGAAATTTCTGTGTTGATGTTCATTATACATAATGTTTTATTTATATTTTTATTTTGGTGAAAATATACACAACAAAACATATGCCAGTTCAACAGTTTCTACATGTATAATTCAGTGATATTGACTACATTCTTCAAGTTGTGAAACTATTCTTGCTGTTCTTTTCCAAATCATTAACATAAACTCAATGCCCCCTAAGCAAAAACTCCCTCTTTCCCCCTCCCTCCCATCTGTAAACCAAAACCCACTGCCATCAAGTTGATTCCGACTTACAGTGACCCTATAGGACAGAGTAGAACTGCCCCATAGTGTTTTCAAGGAGAGGCCAGTGGATTCGAACAGCTGACTTTTTGGTTAGCAGCTGAGTTCTTAACCACTATGCCACCAGGGCTCCAATCCTAGGTATATACCCAGAATTGAAAGCAGGAACTCAAACAGAAACCTGTTACACCAACATTAATTGCAGCGCTTTTCACAAAACACTGGTTTGGTTTGGTTTTCGTATACCTGGGCTTGGGATTGCTGGGTTATATGGTAGTTTTATGTCCAACTTTTTGAGGAACCGCCAAAGTATTTTCCACAGTAGCTGTACCATTATATATATTCCCACCAGCAATGGATGAGGGTTCTAGTTTTTCCACAACCTTGCTAAAACGTTTTGTTTTTCTTTTTTTTAAATCATTGCGATTCTAATAGGGGTGAAGTGATATCTCATTGTGGTTTTGATTTGCATGTCCCTAATGGCTAATGAAGGAGCCCTGGTGTCATAGTGGTTAAGAGCTACAGCTGCTAACCAAAAAGTTACAGCTTGAATCCACCAGCTGCTCCTCGGAAATCCTACGGGGCAGTTCTCTGTCCTGTAGGGTTGCTATGAGTCGGAATCGATCGATGACAACGGGTTTGGTTTTTTTAATGACTGATGATACTGAGCATCTTTTCATATGCTTGTTGACCATTTGAATTTCCTGTTTGATGAAAAGTCTTTCCAGATCTTTGGCCCATTTTTTGATTGGGTTGTCTTTTTGTTGCAAAGACAATGTTTTTTAAGAGTTGGAACAGAGTTTATCAAATCTCATAGATGATGTTAAACCCGTTACCGTCAAGTCGATTCCAACTCATAGCAACAGCAAATCTACACTCCTCACCCCAGCACAGGTTATCTATACATGGGTGTTTATTTACGTTCTGTAGCTAGTTCTTTGTTCCCCTGCATTTATGTAAGATAAGCCTGTGCTATTATAATTGAAATGAAAGTTATCCTAATTTGATTTTCAGCGGCTGAGGAGCTTGATATGGAAAATGAATTTTTATTACCACCTGTTTTTGGAGAAGAATATGAGGAACAGCCCAGACCTCGATCTAAAAAAAAGGTACAAAATTTAATAGTATTCTTGGATTTATCTAGTATCTCTGTTTAACCATAGAGTAAGGATACAGTGATGTTCTGATGTTCCTGAGAATGTGGGAAGGTATTTTTTTTCCGGGTTGAAAAAGACTTTAAGAGGTGATTTATTTCTAAGTATCAAAAATGTCTCAGATTTTGTTGTTGCATCATAGGAAAAGTGAATATTGCCACCACCTAATTTTTTTTTAAGTTGTGTTGATACAAGGAAATAGAAAACAGTTGATAAAAATGTAAATGTAATTATTTGACAAGAATCGAGCCTGTTTTCCAGGGAGCTGTTTATTTAGCCGTTATTTTTTTTTAATTATT